AAGAAACTGTGTATTTTCTGTGAAGTGTTTTTATCAATTTGAGAATGTTTTTTGATAATTTTTTTCATTTTTGGTTTTGCTGTGGTTCATGTAATTTATGTTATTGACATTCATTTGCACAGTTTCTTGGGGTCCGTTTTGTACTTGATGCCCAGGTAGGTATTTTATTGGTAGATAAATATTCCAAGTAACTCGGTTTTAACTACGAACATTGAAGGAAATTGAAATAAATTGAAATTCATCAAATTAAATTAAACTCTGAAACAGGTAGAAATAACACACATTTATATGGAGGCAATGTTGGTCTACATTTCGGGCCTCATCGCCATCTTGAATTATCAGCTGATTTGAATCGCCTGCTTTCTACTTTTGATATTTTTTCGGTGTTTTAGTTATACATATTTTTGTTTGATTTACTGTTTAATAGTTTATAAAGAGATAAAGACATTTATTTACATTCATATTGTATATTCGGCGGCATTTTTTTTTACATCCTACAATGGCATAATACGAGGGTATTTTCACCCTAGTCCACATATACTATCCTAGGAAGTGAATTATATTTCAATTAGAAACAATTTTTCAAAGGATTAGGAGGCTAGACGGCGAAATTTCAAAAATACACTAATTTTTAGGTTATGTTACCTCCAATGTGGTCACGTGCCGCACGAATGTCAGTGAACCCATGCCGTTTCCTAGATGAAATTTCGGCCTAATGAAGATCGTTTTTGTATTTTTCTGGAATACTTCTTTATTTATTACCTATTCATATTGTATGCTATGTAACGTATATAGGGCAATCCAAACAAAATGGCGGTCAATGCATGGTCAATGCCAAAGAATTGGCGCCATAAATTTAATTCAAACAAACATGACATTTTTCATCAAAAAACTGTTTTTTGTGTATTTTGTGGTGTTTTTAGATGATTTTCTGGTGTTTCAGAGGATAATTTTCGTATTTTAAGATGGAAAGTTTTTAGTTTAAGAAATTATTAGTGGAAAACCCGGATGTTTGCAAAAATTATGATTTCTTTGTGACAAACCTTTACCTGCTAAACAATTAGGTAGGTACTATTCAGGATTTGTTTCCTGTTCAGTTTTTTCTTAACCAAATCCTGAATCCTGATGTTTATCTTATTTGTCTGCTATTCATCAAGGTATCGACACAAGCTGATGTGGAGGATAGTAATGGCTTGGATCAATACACCATTTTTGTAGAGAGACTTTTTGGTTTTTCAATATGGATTTCGTAAGATTTTTTCTCTTTTGCTACAATCCATGAAACCCTCACAAAGTACAGACAAATCATTTTCCTCCATTAAAAACCTGTGTTGTCTCTGCATGAACGTCATGAAACTAGACTTTCTCGCGATTAGAACGGCTCGCACAACTAAGTATGTCTGTGCATCCAGAGGTTACCCGTAAGTTGTAAAACACAGGGCTAACAATAAATTAGTACAAGACCAAGTGAACGAATTTACATTTAGTTCTATAAAGTCATTTTTCAAACTAATTTTAAAGTTTTTGAGTTACCTACGTCAAAAATCAATGTCTCTAGAGTAGTTGCCTATTTAAAATTTACTCCATAAAAAAATATTACTTGACAAAATTATATTTCAAAGTAACTTTGAAAAATGGTACACTAGCACCTGAATTAATATAGGGCCTGTCAAAGTTTTTGAACAAAATTTATACCAAAATTCCAGTGCTTCCCAAACAATACAAAATTTTGTGTTAAGTTAGATAATAATTATATTTTACTTGTAAACAATATGTAATAATAATAATAATAATAAAAGTATAATAATCTATACTCAGTATTAGATGAATATATTGCATTTTAAATAAATACGAAATGTAAATACCTATCTGTAAAAATTATATTTCTTCACAAAATTTCATGACCACAAAACATTTTGAGAATTTCAGGTAGAGCCCGCCCTCTCTTTATATTTCGCATGATTTATAGCCATGCCGTGTTTTACAACTTAGGGGTAAACTCTGGGTGCATAGACAATACATAATGTATGCATTTTCCAAAAAATCAACACTTTACAGACTTTATACAAATCAAAAATCACAATAAAACGACATTTTTTTTTAAATAAAAAGGCATTGGCCTCCATTTTGAAAGGTCGTTAGATTGGTGACATTTGACTTAAGTTTGAGACAAACAGACAAATGGGAAAATCATAATTCATGGCGATTTCCATTTGTCAAGCAGTGTTCAATGAGTGTATCCGCATCTTTTTCTAAAAGCATCTTACATGTAAGGATAAGGATACATTTTTTCTACACTGGTTCGACAAATGGAAATCGCTAATAATAACTGTCTGGACAAAGGAAACAGATGAAATAGGTAATTTCGTTTTACCTAAAAAAAAAAAATCTAATTACTTTGTAATTATGGTACTGAAATATGCCTGTTGGATTTTGATTTATGTGATTTTTCTTATTTCTATTTTGATTTATTTATCACATCAAGTGAGATTTTCCAAAAAAATTTTTTATTCATATACATAGGTAGCTACCTATATTAATTGTACTCAATTGCGCGCTTTTTTTAGGCGAGCAATAACAGATGTAATTATTTAATTTCAATGACGGTGTAAAAATGAAAGAAAGGTCATCGATAGTAATTAGCGAACATGAAATACGTATATTGCTCTTATTATTCATGAATATATTTTGTCATCAAATGCTTATGATGATTATTATATCATCGTGCGAGCATCAAAGTTCAACACAAATTATTATTTTGAGGAACATTTCTAAAGTATAAGATAACTAACAGAGATAGAAACACTTAATCTTTGAACTTAAATTTTTTTATGTTGTCAACTGATAAGTGGACAATAAATGATTATATTATGTATTATTGCAATAAATATAATTTTTTTGAAAATATAGGGTACCTATAATACATTAGCATATTGTAATCATTAAATCAAATTATACAATCTATGAACAGAAGAGAAGATTTAAACTTTTAATTTTCAACTTTCTCAAAATTCTTAAAAATAGGTAACAATTTTCCGAGGGTACAATATTTTTAGAAAGATTGCAAACGTTCCTTACAGAAAAAAACCTATTGATGATTTTTTTCAATCTTTCATATTTGTGGTTTGCAGGGATTTCTCACTTGTATGTAACTTATCTACAGATTTCATCTGTCTTGCTGAAAATAAAGGAATTTTAATATTTATTTAAGTACATTTTTATTGAAGTGGTTTTGCTTGTGACAAAGAATTAAAAAGGGGAGTAGTATACATAATAAAGAAAAGTACACCCAATACAGTCTCAAAGGCTTCACGGCAACTTTGTGACTCTTGAACCTTTGTACCAATTTTCTTGTTTCATTGATATCAACATACCTAACACATTCATGTTAGTAGCTCTAAAGAACATGGAACTTGATAATTAGGTACCAGTTATTGAAAGGTTTTTGATAAATATACTGATGTAGCGCAATTTAAAAATAAATGGTCTAAATAAGCTGAATACACACCAAAAGACGTCTTTTAAGCTAGAAGAGCAAATTCAACAGAATAGAAAATCAATACATGGAACATTAAAGGCTCATTAAAGGCTAATTAAATGCCCTGAGGAAAAATTTAAGGCTCCGCCAATTTTCACGAAAAAGGCTGTTCTGCTAGCTTTAACTTAATCCAGAAGAACATGACAGAAAATGTGACTTAAACAACAAAAATTGCAATTCCCCTTGCAGACACATTAAAGGCTCATTGAAGGCTCCAGAAGTACACCAATCGCAAATTTCAGGCTCAATTACTTTTTTGATTTAGTAAGTTTGGAAAAGTCTAAAAGTCTGATTAAGATTGCTATGTACCCAAACTACCCGGGTTATTATCGGTAAGTTTGGAAATGTCTGATTAAAATTGAAAACTAACCCAAACTTCCTCATTACAGCATCTAATTAGCCTTCGATAATTCACTAAGTTCACTGTCTGAGAGGTTTTCACGCCATGCTTGGCTGACCCCACCCACACGATGCGACTTTTCGCATTTTCACAAAAAAAAAAGTAATTGTGCCTAAAATTCGCGGCAGCATTAATGAGCATTTATTGTCTGTGCAAATGGAATTGCAATTTTCGTTGTTTTACCCACTTTTTCGCTCATGTTCTGCTGGCTTAAACTTAAGCTAGTAGAACAGCCATTTTCGCAAAAATTCCCGGAGCCTAAAATTTCTCATTACACTATTTAATTAGCCTTTAATGTATTTACAACGACTGCACTATCGGAACAATGATTTTCACCGTCAGAGGTTTTTCCACCATGCTTTGCCGACATCACTCACACATCCCGACTTTTCGCATTTTCACAAGAAAAGTTATTGAGCCTGAAATTCGCGATTGGTATATTTCCGAAGCCTTTAATGAGCCTGTAATATCTGTGCAAGTGGAATTGCCATTTCCGTTCTTTTAGCTACTTTTTCGCTCATGGTCTGATGGCTTAAGTTAAAGCTAGCAGAATAACCATTTTCGCGAAAATTCGCGGAGTTTAAAATTTCTCATTACAGCATTTAATTAGCCTTTAATGTATTGCATTAATCAGAACACTGATTTCCACCGTCTGAGAGGTTTTTTCGCCTTCTCGGCCGACATCACCCATGCATCACGACTTGTCGCTATTTCACAAAAAAAGTAATTGGGCCTGAAATTTTCGATTGGTGCATTTCCGGAGCCTTTAATGAGCCTTCAATGTCTGTGCAAGTGAAATTGCAATTTTTGTTGTTTTAGCCACTTTTTAGCTGAAGTTCTGCTGGCTTAAGTTAAAGCTAGCAGAACAGTAATTTTTATGAAAATTCACGGAGCCTTAAATTTCTCATTAGGGCATTTAATTAGCCTTTAATGTTCCATATGTTGATTTTTGATTCTGCTGACTCTGCTCTTCCAGCTTAAGAGACATCACCAAAAGTATAATTTCATAAGCCGGAAAAGCATGAATTAACTACAAATACTTATAAAAAAGAGGAACTTTACCGAAAATTTTCCATTCCTCCTTTTCCCTCGTTCTGTAATTGTTGGACTTTTTTAAAAAGTAAACAGGCCTTCCGAACAGCTTCTTCATATTTCTCTTTGTGACTTAAATATTCTAGGGGCACTTTTGATCTTAGTTCAGGGTCTTCAAGGAAGAATCTTTCTGAAATAGATAGGTGACATAGTCTTGAAATTAAAATAAATAAATAGAAATATACCTCGGAATATACAGATATTTTCTTTTGTAGGTATTTCTACTTAATTTTTTTGAGCTGAACTTATTGTTTCCATGAATAAATTGAATCAATGAAATTTTGAACATTAATTTAATATATTAGGTAGTGGGTTTATTATTTGTGAAATTGAATTTGACCTAAATAGCTCACCTCTTTCTTTTCTTTCTTGTGTTTTTCTCGGGCCCCCATCCAACAAATGAGTTAACTCTGAAGTATTGAAAGAACACTTTTTCCTCTCTTTCGCTAAATCTGGATTTATTTTTTGACTGGCGCTCATTTTTTATCAGTCTACACTTTATTTAACTATTTTAAAATATAATTTTAAGTTAGTATTCAATTGTCAAGAATCTCTACAACAACCTATACTTCCAGCAAGTTGTTACTCTTGGAACCAATTATGTACTGCACTATTCATTCAATTTAATTTATTGCAATACTTATTATGACGAAACGTTTATCAGATAATTTCTCGATAGGCAATTATTTCGATTATTTTTCTAGGAAACGGAGACAGCCGAATCAGCACAGTGCACAGCTGACCACTGTCAGCTCAAGTCAGCTGAGACTGAGGGGTTTTCATTACCCGTGCGTTCGGTAATTTGATCTGAGTTCTTCGAGCATTAATTTACCGTTCGTTTATTTAAAAAGTGTACTCGGTGCAGGCTCATTCGCGTCCGTTTATTAAAATTTTGGGCACTCGAATACAGCGTTCTGTTCGCTCTGTAAGACTACCGGCTACCGTACTAGAACTCAGGTCCTTTCGGAGCACAATTATTCAAATTCAAGTAGTCGATTTTAGAACTTCTCTCTATTTGAATAAATAATAATGCGGAATGGACGACAATTATTTTGAAGAGAGAGGTTTCAATAAACTTTTTGACTATAAAATCTCTCAAGAGGAAGCTGGTGGTGACGAAATTCTACCAGTTTTCTGGTTTAAAAAAAACTCAAGTTTGAATGTTTTAGAATTGAAATCGTCCTACAAAGAGGATTATTTCATTAGGGACTCAAATCAATTAATTCATAAAAAATTGCTTTATCGACCAACGATATAAAATATCTTATTGTCAAAATTCGAAAATAAGGAGGAAATTTTGAAAAAAAAAAAAATCGACAGTGATTCTGATACCATGTATTCCATAGTCATACCCTGCAATACTCAGACATCACACAAAGTCTATTAGAGACGCCTTTTTTAGGTCTGCATTGCGTCTGAAAGTCTGAAGACCAAAAAAAGAAATCTAGAAGACGTCCATAAAATGTCGTAAATTCTCATTTTAAGACAACTGAGCCACACTATTTGAATTATGGTTTATGTATTGAAAAGAGATTCAAAGACATCTTTAAGATATCTCGTTGAAGGCGTCCTTAGAATGTCTTGGAAAATTATCATAAAGACGTTTTTAGGCAGACGTTTTGTAACATATGACTTCTTTAAAATGTCTTTATTAAGATATGCCTTGAACACGTAAGCAGACGTTTAAAAAACAAATTGAATGTTGTTTGTGGACATCTTAGGGACGTTTTTAAGATGTCTACGAAAACTTCCTACAGAATTGGTTTCTCATTCAATTCAGAAGAAAGTTACTGGAAACCATTTAAAATGCTACTTTACACTTTAGAACTTTAATACGCCTTTTGGAAAGATCGAAACACTTAAAATATTCAATTCAGAATTTCCAAAACTATTCTGTAGCGCTTCAAAACATTTTGGAAACTTCAGAACCATTTTAGAATGCTCCAAAACATTCAAAAACAATTTCCAAAAACATTGTTCGGAAACGTATCTCAATAATTTGACACTTTTGAGGGATCTTCCTGTCGGTTATCACTAACATATCTTTACCAACATATAAGCACAGTACTTATAGATAAAAAGAAAACCTACAAACGCAGCTACAAAATCAATACAACTCTTTTTGAGGTTAGAAAACATTTCATTCAAGGATACGATCGTTTACGTAATGTATGATCATGCTTAAAAGGACTTTTAGGCGGTCAACGTAAGTCGATGCGTTTACGGATGCGGATACGGATACGTAGAAAAATTTAGGGTTTGCTTAAAGTGTCTACTTTAAGCAGGTCCTGAATTCCAAACGTATCCGTATCCGTATCCGCAACGATCTGCGCATGCGCTGAATAGATACGGTGGTGGCGAGGGCCGTAACGATACGCACAACGCAACGCAACGAAACCACCGTATCTATTCAGCGCACGCGCAAATCGATGCGGATACGGATACGCTTGGAATTCAGGACCTGCTTAAAGTGTCTGTTATTTGCATCCGTAACGAAATGACAGCTTGTCAAAATCTTGGAAGTAGACTATTGTTTTAGTGGAAGTAAAAGCGTTACTTACCTACCTCCCTTAATAAAAATACTTCAAATTGAAGTTTCTTGTTATTACTATTAATAAGTTGTGACAATGTGAATTGTAAATTATAAGTTTTTTTATTAAGGAAGGTAAGTAGGTACCGCTTTTACTCCTACTAAAACGATAGTCTATTTCAAAGATTTTCTTTCTATTCTAGGGTCATAAAAGAACTCGATGAGACCTTTAAAAAGATGAGGTATGACTCGACCCCTATCCCCTATTCAAATTTGGGGGGTTGTTCTCCCCCTAGCTAGGGGGTTGAAGCTACGGGGATGGAAAAAACTAAAAAATATTTCTCCCTTAAATAAAAAATCGACGTATCCGAGCGTTATTCCAGGTTATCATTCCAAATCCAATAAATCGGAGTGGACTGTTTTTCCTGGGACAGCCTGTAAGTATATAGAATATTGGACAAGCTTGTATAAGCTATGCTTGTATAGTATATATTAAATAAAACATACTGAATTGAACCATTTTCTATGCTCATCCAAGAAAAAAAGGGGATCGAAAGCAAAGAATAAGCGGAAAGGTCAAAGCTGCCGAAGGTGGTGCATTCCATTTTATCAGCTTAGCATCCTCAGAATACGGTTCCAAACTTTAAAATTCAATTTTCTCGAAATCATGAAAAAGCGACCATCTCTCGATATTAATGAACTTTCGAAAAATAAACCTACTTGACAATGTGGCGGAATATAAACGAATATTATCTACTAGAACTAGTGATTTAATCGTCGGACTAAATTTGTTAATAGCTACTACTATGAGGCTGTTCTCAGAAAAAATCATTATCCATTTCTGAGCCTGAGATCCATTCGCGGTTTGTTTTGTTTGATAAAAAGACCCTGCTCAATAAATCCCGAAAATTTGAAGTCCTTCTGATTGCTTCAAGTATTTTTCAGGAGCTTTCAAAGATGATTTAATAGAAATTTTACATGATTTTTTTGCATCTAAGTGAAATATAATTCATAATTTCATCTCTGAGCCTGAGATCCAGTCGCGGTTTGTTTTGTTTCATAAAAAGACCCTGCTCAATAAATCCTGATAGTTTGAAGTTCCTTTGATTGCTTGAAGTATTTTTCAGGAGCTTCCAAAGGTGATTTAATAGGAATTATACATCATTTGCATCTAAGTGTGAAAAAAAATCATAATTCTATTTCTGAGCCTGAGATCCGTTGGTGGTTTGTTTTGTTTGATAAAATGACCCTGCCCAATAAATTCCTAAAGTTTGTGCATCAACGCAACCAACAATACAAATTGTCAATGGTATCGATTTCCTATAGAAATTTTACATGATTTTTTTGTATCTAAGTGAGAAAAAATTCATAATTTCATTTTTGAGCCTGAGATCCATTCGCGGTCTTTTTTATTTGATGAGAAGATCCTACTCAATAAATCCTGAAAGTTTGATGTCCCTCTGATTGCTTGAAGTAGTTTTGAGAAGCTTCCAAAGGTGATTTAATAGAGATTTTCTATGGTTATTTTATTGCATCTAAGTGAAAAAAAAATCATAATTCCATTTCTTAGCCTGGGATCCATTCGCAGTTTATTTTGTTTTATGAAAAGACCCTGCTCAATAAATCCCGAAGCCCCTCTGATTGTTTGAAGTATTTTTCAGGTTTCAAAGATGATTTAATAAAAATTTCATCTGATTTTATTGCATTCAAATCAGAAAAAAAAATCATATTTCCATTTCTGGAACTGAGATCTATCCGCGGTTTGTTTTTTTTTTTTGATAAAAAAAAACCCTGCTCAATAAATCCTGAGAGTTTGAAGTCCCTCTGATTGCTTGAAGTATTTTTCAGAAGCTTTCAAAGATGATTTAATAGAAATTTTACATCTTATATTGCATTCAAGTGAGAAAATTCATAATTCCATTTCTGAGCCTGAGATCCACTCGTCGTTTATTTTATTCAATGAAAAGACCCGACTCAATAAATCTTGAAAGTTTGAAGTCCCTCTGATTGCTTCAAGTATTTTTCAGAAGCTTCCAAGGGGATTTAATAGAAATTTTACATTACTTTTTTGCATCTAAGTGAGAAAAAGTTCATAATCCCATTTCTGAACCTGAGATTCATTCGCAATTTTTCCTGTCTGATAAGAAGACCCTTGCTCAATAAATCTTGAAAGTTTGAAGTTCCTCTCTTCGCTTAAAGTATTTTTGAGGAGCTTCCAAAAGGGATTTAATAGAAATTTTACATGATTTTTTTGCATCTAAGTGAAAAAAAAAAAATCATAATTCCATTTCTGAGTCTCTGATCCATTCACGGTTCGTTCTGTTGGATAAAAAGACCCTATTCAGTAATTCCTGAATGTTTCAGGTCCCTCCGATTGCTTGTAGTATTTTTCTGAAGCTTCCAAAGGTGATTTAATAGAAAGTTTTACTCAATTTTTTTTAATCTAAATGAGAAAAAAATTCATAATTCCATTTCTGAGTCCGAGATCCACCTGCGGTTTATTTTGTAAATCCTGCACCTATTTTAAATGTTGCAATAAAATTACGCCTTATTGACGCCTATTTGAATTCAAAAACAAATTGTTAGCTAGAAAAGTCAAAAAGCTTCCCACAAAGATGATAGTTAGCCTCTATAATAGAGAGACGACGTGTGAGGTTTGCTAAGAACCGCACCAAATAGCGACTTCAAGGGGAAGTTTTTAGATTGGTCTAAAAAAAAAAATTTGAAAATTATACAAATGAAAATATATTTATTTAACTTATTCTAAATTTGTCTTCATACAGTATCCATTCGTTTCGTACAACTAAAAGAGAACAAAAAAGACAAATAAATATTATAGCTACTTCACAATATTCTATAGGGTAAACATAAAATTATAATCTGTACACTAGTTTATATGTAAAGAAAGTAAAACGCTTTAAAAATTAAGGTTCAAATGTACCCCACTGCTTCTGTTACGATTATATCACTTAATTATTATAATAATGGCAATGGGATGCATTCACAACCAAGAAATTAACTACATGTTCATTAGAAATTAATCTTTATGGTTTTGTTATTTTTAAAAAAAATTGTACACCTAGTTTTAAAATTTGCGCTTAAGGATATAGCATAGTGTGGTATATTCCACGATTCCACTCTCTTCGAATATGTTTATATTTTATGCTTTTTTTTTTATTACAACACTCCGAATGCATGAACTGTAAATGCGATCAACACAAATAAATGACGGCAGCAGGGAAAGGCAAGCATGACTGATTGATGTAAAGTCTTTTATTGAAATAGTGTGCACACTGTTCAGTTCTTTTTCATTTATTTTATTATTAGGTTCTAATGGCAGCACTGTCATTATACTTCTCTTAGGAATTCGATTCTTCCCTCGTGAGGGCGAAACGTAGTCTGATCATTCTGTTTTCGTCGTATATAGTTTACTTACATTTCACTAAACTCGGCTTCAACTTCCAGGCGCCGTTTTTTTAGGTTTCTTAATCGGGGGCGACTCTTTCGGAGGATTGTTTGCTGTTGTTATTGCTTCTTCAAGATTTCTCTTATATGTACCTATCAATTCTGGAAGATCGTAGGCTATTGCTATATCTAGCCTATTGATTGGACAACCTGAAATGGAGAACAATTTTTTTAGAAACATCATACAATTGCCATTATCTATTAATATGTTCAAATAGATCCACTCGAATATCTCAATAAGGTGAGTAGGAAACTACCCTAATAACACAAACGTTGCAAAAGAGCTCTATAACCAAAAATGCTAGCTCAATCATACCCAAAACGACAGGGCCTTGAAAGATTCCAAGAAGTTATGGGGCCTTTTGGGTAGGTACATAGAATTATTATAAATACATAATAAATATCCTGAATATCCTCACCTCTGAAATATGTACAAGTCGCTGAAAGTTGTTGGAACTCGTACAATGGATTGAGTTTGAAGAAATCTCGATAAACATCGGGATCTGGCAAATCGTATCGTGAAATATTGGTAAGTGTTGATAGGCCTTCGTAGATGTGGTAATCTTGAGGACGCTCAATAATCTCGTTAGCAACTTGCTTACGATTACCAAACACAGATTTATGATTGTAGTATGTTGTTAGGTAACAATCGACCATTTTTGCGTGGTTCCTTACGCGTACCTATAAAAAAACATCGATGTTAATCCAATTTGTATTCTATAAACTCGTAAATACTTACAGCAAATCTACGTGCGCTAGCAATTTTATTTTCAACGCGTCTATCAACTGCAGTCCGAAGATCTCTCAAAAATGCTCGTTCTTGAGCTTGAAGCAGTCTTATAGGTGCCCACGGCTCATATGATCTTGACCATAGAGAAGTCGTGTACATCACAGGTGGCTGTGGAGAAGACATCAAAGGTGAAATATTCCAAATAAGTGCTCCTTGGACTCGCATTAACTCTTCTGGTTTTACTTGGTCAGCTTTATTTAGAATTATTCTTGTCTGTAAAAAAAATAAAAAAAATGCCATTTTTTTAAACTAGAATCATGCAAGATGAATATACAATCAGATTCCATTGATTTTACCTGATGTTCTCTTCCTTTAAGTTGATCCAATATAGCTTCAGTTTCTGGTCCAACGTCAAGTTTGGAAGGATCATATACTAGGAAAATTATATCCGCTCTATCAATGAACCATTGACAGGCATCATTAAATGGAAATACTCTGGAGACTTGCTTTCTTACTTCTAAGATTCCAGGAATCTCAACAATATTCACTTTTTCCAAAAGTCTTACGGGAAGTTTCACTCCACGTAATCTCTCTTCTAAGCCTTGTCCAAACTTTTGAAGCCCGGAAAAGGTAAAGTCGGCGGCTAGCTCTGCACCGTCAATAATTTCAGGTTCGTCTCCGTGCATTAGTATATTGAAATATGCCGGGGATGGTTCAGCTCCTTTAGAAAATAATCAAATTATAATATTGTGTGCAGGCTTAAAAATCAAAAATCAGTATTACCTGTTCTCAAAGAAGTTTCATTATATTCATTATTAAGCAAGTAGTTTATAATGGAAGATTTTCCTCCACTCCATGGTCCCATAAATAATATTAGAGGCTTGGAGAATATTTCGGCATCTCCAAAATGCCTGTTACTTAAATCACGATATTTGTATAAAACCTCTAAGGGTTTAATAGCATTTTCGTAAAGTCTCTTAAGCTCTTTCAGCGTCTCCTCGTATACTTTATTTTGTACTTTCTCTAACTTAGTAGCATCTTGATCTATCTTCAATAACTGTTCAACATGGTCCCTTGGCCTTAGGTCAGTGGGAAAATCTGTATCAAGCGATAGTTCTTCAACAGCTGCTTCTCCATCTTAAAATAAACATTTTTTTATGAGTTGCTTATAACAGCTTAATAATTCAATTACTTTTTTCGTAACTTTCATCTTCTTCAGTTGTAGATTCAAATCGAATAGGTTTGGATGGTATTGCTGGTACTTTAATTTCGGGCTTCTCCACTTGTTTTTTAGGCGCTGGTGGTGGTGGTGGTGGCGGAGGAGCTTTGTATTCCTTCTTGATTTCAACAACTTTCTTTGGCTCTGGTATTTTCACTTTTGTCTTGGGAGGGGGTGGTGGTGGCTCCTCAGCAGATACTTCTTCAACACTTTCCTCTCCACCTTAAATTAATTCAAATTTACAATTAGTGATAACTATTTTAAAAAACTGGCCGAGCTTATACCTTTTTTTGTACCGAGGATGCAACGCTTGTTGTAGCATTTATTTGGGCAACATATCTCCTCACTGCCGCAGTCGTCATCATTGCCACATCTTTCACCTTCTACGCATGATACTTTGTCGGTAGGAGGACATCCTCCTTGACTCTCAGCTTCTACAATTGTATCTTCTTTTGTGTCTTCTTCTGAATCTTCTTCTTGTTCATCTGAGGCTGGTTTACCACTCACGCATACTTTTCTGTAGCATTTATTAGCACAACAAATTTCACCTGTATCACATTCCTTATTCTTATTGCATTTTTCACCACCACAGGGTACTCCATCACGTTCAGGGCATCCAGTGTCTAAAATATAAAAAAAAAATGTTTATTAATAAGAATTTGTTTTTATTTTAATAACCTTTGTTGGGGACACTAGAAACAGGTGCTGCACCCTTGGGTTGTTCTTCCTTTGAATCTTCGTCAGATTCGCCTTCAAGGTCTTCGTCCGTAGGAGTTCCTGGAGTGCAGCGTCTTCTGTAACATTTGTTCGGACAACAAATTTCTTTTGGCCCGCAATGTTTATGCTTGCTGCATAGGTCACCTTCGACGCATGAAACTTCATTAGGGACGGGACATCCAGTGTCTAAAATATTAATTATGTAAATGTATAGTGTCGTGTCATAATCTTGTGACTGTACCTGGCCTTTTCGCTGCCGGTTTTTCTGCACTTTTCTCACCAGATTCTTCTTGTGAATCCTCATCGAGTTCTGCAGCGAGCTCTGCTGATGTGGCGGTACCAGGAGTGCATCTTCTTCGGTAACATTTATTTGGACAACATATTTGTTCGTCACCACAGTGTCTGTGTTTACTACATAAATCCCCATCTGTGCAGGAAACTTTAGAAGGGGGTGGGCAACCGCTTTCTGCAATAATTTTTGTAATAAACATTGTACGAATAAATAATTAATTGTTGTTGTTACCTGGAGTACTTGGTTCAGTTTTTTCTGCACTTTTCGCTTCTTCCGATTCTTCAGATGCAGATTCTGCATCCAGTTCCTCTTGTAATGCCGTTCCTGGAATGCATCGTCGCCTGTAACATTTGTTGGGGCAACATATTTCGTTTTCTCTGCAATGCCTGTGTTTAGTGCATAGCTCACCTTCAGTACAAGATATGTCTTTTGGTGCGGGACAGCTACCTCCTAAATATTGCAAACAAGATATTGTTAATTTGGCTGTATTTAGTTAGGATCAGTGGCGGCGATATGCATAAGCGGATATAAGCGACGCTTAGGGGCCCCGGCACGAGGGGGGCCCGAAAGGGCCTCCTTCAAGTACAAATATTTTAAATGCTTTAAAATAAAATTGAGAAATATAATGACCAATGTCGATCGATATTCTTAAGCGGTACATTATTCCTTCCAGCTGCCACCACTGAAAAATCATTTAGTAAATTAAAAATATTAAAAAATTACATGAGAAGTTCCTAAAGTCAGCAAAGACTGCATGTTCTTTCTATTTTGTTGCTCCAAAAAAATTATTCAATGGATAAAGCAGCCATAGATGATCAAAATTTAAATTATTACCGGCTCTTGATTCTCTGGAAAACTTTCCTGGAGCCAGTCAAGAGCCGGTAATAGTCAAAATTTGAACTTTTATCAACTCTGGATTTGCAAGAGAATTTTTCTAAGGGCATTCAAAGCTCAAGAGCCGCGATAATAATCAAAATTTTGAATGATCATCAGCAGCTATTGAGTGGATATTGTCGGACCTGGGGGTTATGAGGGGGTGAGAATCAAAACTAGAGCCAAGTACAGAAATAGGAAAGTGTATTTAAAATAAAGCTTACCACAAATACATGTCAGTTATGGGCATGGGCACTGATAGTGATCACAGGACTAAAAGGCACTATTATTACTGACTAACTAACGCGGATAATTCTCGGTCTGTAGACTTCCCTCTCATCTTCCAAAAACCATTATTTTATATTAATCAAGCGACCATGGTGCGTGATCGCTGATTATAACAATTATACCGGTGAACTGTCATTGACATTGACCTTCCATGGGCTTAGGTTCCTCGTATAAATTAATAATTCACCATATTAGTTAGGTTAGAATCGCAAATTGGCGCGGGTTCCTAGTTCAAAAATTAATACATTGATGTCTTATGGGGACTCAATTTTAAAAGCGTCTGTAGACGTGATAGAATGTTTGTTAGGGAAGTGAGTTGTATAAATAGTTTTATTAATATGTTAATTAACTGAGAGAGTGTTTTAAAGTTGAATAAACATTGTTAAAATAAAAATATTACCAATTTAAGAAGCCGATGTTTGTATAAAATATGTATGTCGTTGCTTGATCCATAAGTATATATATGGGTACCTATAATTATAATAAAATAAAAGTGTACCTACATACTTAGTTAGTAGATGTACTTCAATAATCCAAAAAAATGGAAAAACAAATGACTGACTAGTGATAAATAAATAAGTAAACAATTCACCAACAATCATAACACAACACACAACCTCACTTTCTTACAGCTGATTTTAGACCCGACGTACGTCCACCGAAAACACACAATTTTAATTAAAATCATTTGTATTTTTAATTCTTAGGTCTAAAAAAACAATTAGAGCATGAATTATAGAGAAATATGTTCAAAGTTTGACCTATAATAGGTTCAAATACTAAAAAATGCCCAGAACCCAAGATATTCCCGTCTGAAAATCACTCTTTTGAATCCCCCATAAGAAATACATTGCTGTCAAATTTGTTGAAATGTGTTTAGGAACCCATTTTAAATTTCGCGCCCGATTTTTCTTAACCTAACTAATATGGTGAATTCAATAATTCATTAAACTTGCAACCGAATGTTATTTAAACGTAACGTGATCAATGATTTCCCTGAAACCCATGAACCTTTTTTGGAAGACGCTTATTGGGCTTAATTAACCGAAGGGAGATGCCCTATCATTCTAGATACGACAATACTAATCAATTTTTTTTTTTCCGCAGCTTCTAATTTGCTCAAGAAAAATTATCCAATAGATCAAGAGCCATAGATAATCAAAATTTGAACTATTACCGGCTCTTGATTCTCTGAAAAACTTTCCTGGAGCCAATCAAGAACCGGTAATAGTCAAAGTTTCAACTTTTATCAACTCTGGATTCGCAAGAGAATTTTTCTAAGAGCATTCAAAGCTCAAGAGCCGATAATAATCAAAATTTCGAATGATCATTAGCAACTCTTAACCCAGGGGGGGCTAATTGTGATATTTGCTTAGGGGCCTAGTGCATCCAAGCGCCGCTACTGTTTAGGATAATACCTGGTGTACTTGGAGCAGCTTTTTCTTCACTTTTTACTTCTTCTGATTCTTCAGACGCAGATTCTGCGTCCAGTTCCTCCTGTGGTACCGATCCTGGAGTGCATCGTCGCCTGTAACATTTGTTGGGGCAACATATTTCGTTTTCTCCGCAACTCCTGTGTTTTGTGCATAGCTCACCACCAATGCAAGAAACCTCATTTGGTGGGGGACAGCTACCTCCTAAACATTGAAAATAAAGCATTGTTGATTTAATTGGGTATTTTGATATAATAATATGGTGCTAATACCTGGTGTACTTGGAACAGACTTTTCCTCACTTTTTGCTTCTGCCGATTCATCAGACGCAGATTCCGCGTCCAGTTCCTCCTGTGGTACCGATCCTGGAGTGCATCGTTGCCTGTAACATTTGTTGGGGCAACATATTTCGTTTTCTCCACAGTTTCTGTGCTTTGTGCATAGCTCGCCTTCAGTACAAGACACCTCACTTGGTGGTGGACAGCCACCTTCTAAAAATTATAATAAGTAATGGACTGTTAATTTTATATGTATATAAAATGGTGAAAGTACCTTCAGCACTTTCAGTTGCTGCTGCTGATTCTTTAGATGGTTCCTCGTTGACCACCTCGTTTGTAATATCATCGGCTAGTTCTTTGGATTTTGCTATGTTTTCTATACTTTCCTCTTTACTCTCTGCTTCTGGAATTTCAGCTTCAATTTGATCGCCACCTTCTTCACTTGCTTCGGCACTTGATTCATATTCATGGAGATCAGCTGCAACTTGTATCAAAACTGATTCAATAGGGATTTCCGGAGCTTCTCTCCTAACAATTTTTGCCTCTTCCACTTTCTCTTGGTTTTCCGCTTTAGCCGCATCGGGAGATGCTTGTTGAAGCTCCTCTCTTGCAATAGCATCATCTTCTACACTTGCCTTATCTTCCTTTTCGATTTCTTCAACTAATTCTTCTTTGGGTCTCGTTTCTTCTTCGGATTCGGTTCTTTCATCGCTTTTTTCTCTGTCCTGTTACAAAATAGATTAATAAAATCGCTAAGGGGTTATATCTCCAGAGACGGTACCTTTTCGTCTGGCGTTTCTCTGGATTCTTCTTCACTCTTATCATGAACACTCTAAAATTTGTATATATTTTTAAAAATAAATTATTATAATTAAGTAACAAACCTCTTGCAAAACATCTTCCTCCGGGCTTTTCTCTTCTTCCCCGCCGGTTTCGTCGCTAGCTCCACCATCTTCATCCTCCTGGTGGCTGGAGTCGTCAGTTATTTCTACAGTAGGAATATCTTCAGCGCTTTCGTCTTTCTCTGAAGGTTCCTTTAATGCGACCTCACCAATCTCGAGCTCCTTGAGAGCTTTCTCGATGTAAGGTCGGCAATCGTTTTCGGACGGTCCGTCGGTCTCAGCATCACCTATCAAGTCTAAAACAAAGAAATTTATGATTCAAGACTTGAGAGATAATAGGAAATTAATTTAGCAGATAGTAGACTGTTGCTTAAATCAAGTATAAAACAAAGGACGCTGTCTAAACAAATAAAAGAATTAAGATTATATAAAGTTATTTATAAGCGAATCTTTCCTAATGAATTAACGGATTGTATTTCATCGATGCGCCACTGTCCGTTCCCAAAATAACATTAAAAAACAAAAAATCGCAAAGTATATTTAAAGGATAAGAAATAGAATGTTTAGCTGTTCCAATGCTATCGAATACGTCAAGGCTCCGATTCAAAAATAATGTCAATTCCCTCAATCCCAGCAGAAACGTTTTCTATTTTTTTTTTTGTCCAATTTTGGAAAATAGCCGCCTTGGTTGTGCGGACAAAATTGTCACTTCCAGGGGAAATTGGAAAACAATTATTAGTCATAAAACTAATAGCTAGCGTTAAATTGGAAATCGTAAAACATTAAATAACAATGGAATATCCAGACGGAAACAGTTTTGCCAATGAAATGGTTAATTTTATAGATTAATTTTAATGGCATTTTAAGAGTAGTATTAGTTTTATGCATGCACGCCTATTTGAACTCCTCGATTATGAAACAAATTGCAAGGTAGGTTTCAATGTCGTAAACGTGATTGGAACGAAATTCTGCTCACCTTTTGTGACTGGTATGCATCGTTTCGTATAACACGGGTTCGCACAGCATTTTTCTTTACTTTGGCAGTCTTCATTTGAACTGCACTTTGTTCCACTCGTACATGAGACTTGGTCGGGCGTCGGACAGTCAGTAGTTTCTGAAAAAGAACAAAAAAAAAAAAAAACTTTGATTACATCAATAAGGAAGTCTCTACGAGTCACTACAGAGATTATTATCAACTATTTTGAAAAACGAATCTTGGAAGCTCAAAGTTGCACTAATTCCTTCGAGCAAAGTCTCTCAAGAAAAAATCATGATTCTATTTCTGATCCTAAGGTTCACTTCTGGTGTGTTTCATCTAATTAAAGACCCTAATTAGCGAATCTTGGAAGTTTTTGGTCGCTCTGATAGCTTCAAGTAAGTATATTTCAGGATATGTCAAAGTTGATTAGACAGAAATTTTGCAATTTTTTTCAGTAGGTTCCTACCGACCTGGAACCAAATTTATAATTTCATTTAAACCATCATATTCACTTTTGGATTGTTTTATTTAATGATAAGACCCTAGTTAATGAATCTTGGAAGTTTGAAGTCATTTTGATTGGTTAAAGTATTTGAAGGAAATTTAAGATGTATTCGAATCAGTCACTATTTATTTCAATTTTTTAAAAGACTCCAGTTAATACACTACATATTACTAGGAGTTAAAAGTCGCTCTGTTGTCTGTTGTCTGAGGATAGATAAGCACTTTGGATAAACTGACACAGTTTTTCAGGTAAATATCTCGAAAACGAAAAAATGCAACGAGATGGCAGTATGGCCAAATCCTAAAATTTGCTTAAATTTGGTTTTATACAGACATGCGATTTTCTGAAATACCATTACTGCCTTATTTCCACTGAAACATTTTTTTATATTTTGTCATCGTGAGAACGCCTGATTTTGCTACTCTACAAAAATGTATAGGTAATTTTTTTTAATTGTCTCGACATCACATCGTAAAAATTGCACTTTATTGAAGAGGGCACCAAAAATTAAAAATATGTACTTCAAGCAATCGAAAGAAATTCAAACTTTCAGGATTTATTGAGAAACAAACTGAAAGTGGATCTCCGTCCAGAGACAGAATTGTGAATTTTTTCTCAGTCAGATGGAATAAAATCATACAAAATTTCTATTAATTCACTTTTGGACGCTTCTGAAAAATACTTCAAGCAATCAGAGGGACTTCAAACTTTCAGGAATTATTGAGTAGGGTCTTCTCATCAAACAGAAAAAAACGCGAATGGATCTCAGCCTCAGAAATTAAATTATGATTTTTTTCTCATTAAGATGCAAAAAAATCATGTATCATTTCTATTAAATCATCTTTGGAAGCTTCTGAAAAATATTTCAAGCAATCGGAAGAAGTTCAAACTTTCAAGTCGAAATCGTCCAAAGTAGAAGAGAATATAAAATGGGTTAAAAAATATAAAACAAAAATCATGGGAAGTTATAAATGGCGAAATTACAAATTTTCGAAAAATTACAGTTTTATGTTGCAGTAGTTGCAAGAATAAATATTTTACTTTTATTAGAAACAATAAACAAACCAATCCTATTAGGATCAAAATAAATAAGATTAAGATATAAATAAAAACAATGCAATAACAAAGTTTAAACACAGCCAAGTTCAATGGCAAGTGGCACGCACACAACAATGAGAGTTTAAGATTTCAGGCTAAAAAAATATGTCTGGATGAGATAATCTTTTAATTATGTCAACATAATTAAAATTAAAGGAACTTATTCAAAAATAAATTGGGTCCTAGAGTTGATTAAATTACGATCAAAATCATCGGGTGGGGTTGTTAAGCTGAAACAAATTTCGAAAGTACCGTGAAGCAATAGGTACGCACTCCTTGTTACCGCAGATTACGTCTAGGACAAATTAACCGATTCCAAATTAGCTACCCATCTACCATAGATGTTTTGCATTGGAATTTCATTCCACCAACTTCGTGCAAAATTCCGTTCACTATTCGAATCATCCCATTATTCAAAAATCATAGTCCTTTTCCTTCGCCTGTTTATAGTTTTTACGGTTCTGTACCCGAGGCATTTCATTGGGTTTTTCAACACCAGGGCTTCTTCCATAAGAGAGTTGGTCCAATGCCTCAAAAGCCTTTTCAAAGTTTATATGAAATCAAAAATCGAATGAACTTCTATATGAAATTGCGACTGCGATTAATTTTAATGGCAGTAGTTCGCGTTCACAACTGCTTTTCCTATCGTATAATATTCGCAACAGTTGAAAGGTATTCACATGACAAGCGTAATGCAAAAACAATACGGAGAATGTTTGGCCGGGTTCCTAGAACATCCATAATGTATCGAAATATGATTCATCGTATTTTTTTTTAAATTTATTTTCGATCAAACATCGTACAAGGAATTTCAAGATTATGCGAGAGTTGAAATAAAATCAGCTTCTAGAATACTGAGGCTTCTCTTTTGCTTATCTGTAATGGCAACTTTCAAAACTAAGAGGCTATATTGTAGTAAAATTACCTGCCTTAAGTTTTCACAAAATCAGTTAGAGGTATTATTTTAAACTTTGGTGGTTGACTGGTTGACTTAAACTCACTCTAATTTTTTCAAAATCTCTGTATAAATTTTAAAAGGCAAAAATCTGCATTCAAAGATCATTAATAAAATTACAACAAAATTAAGCAAGAATATTCCATTTTAAAATGTCACCGCTGATAGACGTTTCGCCAAACAAATAATTGCGAAAACCAAATTGTTGACGTAAAATTTCGTTATTAAGATCACATTTTCGGATGTGGGCAGAGAACTTTTTAATACAGTTCTGATTTCTTTTTTGGCAACCGTATAAAATTTTTCTGATGCACGATGGTTTATATCGGTACTAGAATATTTGAATATTTAATAAATATTCCAGGAGATTTCCCAATTTTAGATAAGGCCCAGTTTAGAAGTTCAAGCGTTCCATGATTGTTAATATACGCTTGGTACTAGAAATCTATTAGGAAATAATTGTTTTCTTCACCTTGTTTGATGGAAGTAAACTGAGCTCCAAATACGCCTGAAGCAACTTATGAAACATCACAAGCCGTTATTACATTTGAAAGTATCTTGAGAAATTCCCAACACAACTGACTATTCAATAACCAGCTTGAGAAGGTTTGAAATAATTTCCAGAGAATCTATAAGTTCAATTTTTTTTTTTAAGTAACTGAAAAATAAGTTCCTGAAACCTCATCCCACGCTACTTCCGAATTATCAAAACTTATTCTACACTTTTGAAAAGATGAGTGCTTTCCAAGCTTCTGAAGCAATTTCTAAAGCCTCTGAAATTGCACGGAAAACTCAAAATTATCCAAATATTCCAAACTAAAAGCTTAAAGTAGCTTTAAGAATGCATGAAGCCACACCCAGAAAAACCAAAGGCTCATTCTCACATTTTCTACACACACACTTTTGAAACTAGCTAAAAACCTGATGAATTCAAGGTGTCTAAAGTTCCTTTCAAAGCTTTTGAAACCACGTCCAAAGAACCTTAAGTGAGTTTCGAAGATTCTATAAACTTTCCAAATTGTCCTAATGAAATCAGAGTAGGAAGTACAAAGCTACTCTCACAAATACTGGACTTAGGTATACCAGATTCCACAATTATTCAAAAACTGACTACAATTGAAATCTTCTGAAGCAACTTTCAAAAATCAAAATTTACTCTTACAGAATGTACAGTTTTAAAATTAATTGGATAATAAACGGTTGGTACAGGTATGACTTGATACTAACTTCAAACAATAATAAAATTTCAACTTATTTATTCTTTGGCAATCTCCCATAATAACAGCTGTTAATTCCGTACGTTTAAAATAATGACATATTGCCAGTATTTTTGGGCTCGATCCTATATACCTGTGGACTTGAAAGAAAAAAATGGATTCTGTCGTACATGTCCTTGAGATAAATTAAAAATTATTCTGGTTTTGTCACATCAGACAATTATACAAGAAGGAATTTAAACCCTATAAATAAACGAAATTCGCTATTAATAAATTACATCGGTGCCAAACTAGTGAGCGAGGTGAAACATTAATGCATATTTCAGGTACAAGATTTAAATATTTTTTCCACAGTTAAGGAAGCGTGCCTACTGTCTTAACATATAATTAATTTGGATAACTAGATCAGGGGGGCTCCAATTATTAATATAACAATTACTAAGTTCGTCATAATATTGGCAACCCAGTCAGGTTACATAACGATTGCGGTTTTGTTTGGTGAGTCTTGTCAAATCTAAAAAAAAAAAAATCCATACGACAAGAAACTCAATTTTGTGTACGGTTGAGAGAGAGAGAAGAACCAATTTCGGCGACGTTAATTGCTTGTAATGGGTTGTCTGGTAGATAATGGTAACTGGATGAAGTCATCAGGTTGTTCTTCTGGAGATTTGAACAGAAATATGTGAGGGAGAAATGGAATGCGCTATTAGACGACTGCTTACCGATTTTATTGTAACGCCAATGGTAACGCATAGGGTGTCGCCATTTTTATCACTTTTTACTAGTTTTTACAACTTCAATTACAATTACAACCTCAATCTGACAGATTTTTCACGACATAACGTTACTTTTGGTCGGTTACAGATTGTTCTGTTGGCGTTTTTTATTTCTGCTTAATTAATTACCAAACTTATAAAATTATTATTTAAATTAATCTTGAAAATATCTATATGGCAAAATAGCAAAATAAATTTGTTTTCATGATATATTTGTATTAATTGAGTCTCTTAAAAATCAATTTTGTTACCTACTTCAATTTAATTTGAAGCTCTAACAAATCGGATATAAAGCACTTCAGTCTAATAACAATATTTCTGTGCTACTTGGGCAGGATTCAATATGGCGGCAATTTTCAAGTAGGTATCTGTGATGTTTGTTTATTTAACCTACGTTTTTATATTAAGCAATTTGAATCAGCTGATAATTCAACATGGCGACGTGGGCATAACAAATTAGGCGACCGAGAAGGTGCCTTCACATTCAATTTCAATTGATTGCAATTTGAATGGGAACTGAATGTGAACGTGCCTTTACGGTTGCCAGGTGTGTTATTCCCACAGCGCCATATTGAATTTAGAAA